GTGTCCTTCTTCATGTTAGGTACTCGTCTGTTCATGAGGGCGGGTTTCCAAATGGCTGGAAGGCGGGAGGTGTCATCTCGTTTGTTCATGCTGTGTGGGCGTTTTTCTATCTCTATGGCTTCTCTGATTATTCTGCTGTTGAAGTGTTCGGTTTTGGCGATAGTTCTGGTATTTTTAAAATCAATTTCATGTCCTGTGGCTTTGAGGTGTTGGACCAGGGAAGAGGTCGTTTCTTCTTTTTTGATTGAGTTCTTATGTTCTTCAATGCGTGCACTTATTCTTCTGTTAGTTTGTCCAATGTATGTGGTAGGGCAGGCAGTGCAGGGGATTTCATATACTCCTTGGTTTTCTAATTCGATTTTGTCTTTGGGGTTTCTTAGGATGGTGGATATTTTTCTGTTTGTGCAGAATGCTGTTTTGATGTTGTGTTTTTGGAGGATCTTGCTAATTTTGTCTGTAGTGCCTTTTATATATGGGAGGAGGGCTTTGCCGTTTTCTTATTCTCTGTCTTGGATTTTGGTTGGGGTTTCTTTTTGGATTAGGTGGGTAATCTTCTTTCTTTGGAATCCATTGGCTGTAAGTACGTTGGTGAAAGTGTGTAGTTCGGTTTTTTGGTGTTGTTCATCGGCTAAGCATTTTGTTCTGGAGATGAGTGTCTTGGCTACGGAATTGATCTGTGCTGGGTGGTGGTGTGAGAGTGCATGTAGATAGCGGTTAGTATGTGTTTTCTTCTGGTAGATGGTGTGTCCTAGGGAGCCATTGGATCTTTTGTATACCAAGACATCTAGGAAGGGAAGTTGATTGTTGGCTTCTGTTTCCATGGTGAATTGTATTTTGGGGTGTAGGCTGTTGAGGTATGTGAGGAAGTTGTTCAGTTTTTCTTTCCCGTGTGGCCAGATTATGAAGGTGTCATCTACGTATCTGAGCCAGAGTTTGGGTTTGTGGTCATATTTTTCTAGAGCTTGTGTTTCAAAGTGTTCCATGTAGAGGTTTGCGATGACAGGTGAGAGGGGTGATCCCATGGGTGCTCCTTCTATTTGTTTGTATTTTTGTCCATTGTAGGTGAAGTAAGTATTGGATAGGCAGTGGTTGGTTAGATCTAGGATGTGCTTGGGGGGGTTGTATTTGTTTTGGATGGCTGTCAAGGCTTCTTTTATTGGCACTTGGGTGAAGAGGGATATGACATCGAAGCTTACTAGTAGGTCGCTAGGTTGTAAGTTTTGTTTCTTTATGATCTCGATGAAATGGAATGAGTTTCTTACGTGTGAGTTGATGGATTCTGCATAGGGTTGTAGTTGTTTGGCAAGAAATTTGGCCAGGTTTTGTAGAGGTGAGCCTATGGAGCTGACTATAGGTCTGAGTGGAGTTCCTTCTTTGTGTATTTTGGGGAGACCATAAAGCTTGGGGCATCTGGATGATTTTTCTCTGGGTATGATTCCTTGCTGGATTTCTTCACTGATGGGGGAGGCTTTTATTTTGGATTTGGTAGTTTTTTCTAGGTAGGTGGTGGGGTCTGTCTTTAGGGGTTTGTATGTGGGGTCTTGGAGTAGGTTGGTTAACTTGGTTTGGTAGTCAGATGTGTTCATTACCACTGTTGCGTTGCCCTTGTCTGCTGGTAGGATTATTATGCTGGTGTCTTCTTTCAGGTTAAGTAGTGCAGTTTGTTCTTCTTTGGATAAGTTGCTTTTGGGTGGTTTGCTAGTGCAGAGGATGTTGGTGATTTCGAGTCTGATTTTGTTAGCATCATCAGGGTTGGTTTTGGTCAGGCTGGTTTCAACTCCGCATATGATGGTTTCTGTGGGGATGTGTTTGGGAGCGACAGCAAAGTTGAATCCTTTTGAAAGGACCTTGGTTTCAGCTTCAGTGAGGATCTTGTCTGAGATGTTGTGCACTGTTTGTTTCATGTGTGGCTGTGGGGGGGGAGGAGTTGGTTTCTGGCGTTGTTGTAGTTTCCTGAGTTTGTTGGTGTGTGTGTCTGTCTTGAGGATGGTCTGTGTTTCGGCTCTCCAGACAGCAAGTTGTTTGGATTTGTCCCAAAGTAGAGGGTGAATCTTGTTGCTGAGTCTGAGGTGGAGTGTGAGGAGATCTTTGTTGATTTGGTCTAGGGGAAACCTTTTTGTGTGAAGTTCATTTCTAATTAGGGCCAGTTCTGTTCTTTTAAGGATGCGTTTGGTGGCTGCTGTGTTGGTGTGGAATTTCAATTGGAAGCTTGTGGGAATTAAATTTTGATCTCGGCAGTTGCATAGGAATGCAAGGTCACATAAAATGGAGGCAAAGATGCACATACAAATACCCGCGAGAACCTCAGAAAACAAATATATATATATATATATATATATATATGTGGATCTTTGGTTGTTCGGGTTTTCTCCCACGTAAGATTCGAAGTATCTAGGCAACGTTTCGATGAAGTCTCATTCATCATCTTCAGGCTTCTGTCTCCGGCTCTGTGCTTCTCAGAGTAATGTGAGATTGCAGCTGCTTCCTCCTTTTAACTGCCAGTGGGGGTGGGACTTGATTGGGTGGGGGCTTGGCTGTGTTCTGATTGGGTGGGGGTGTGTTCTCATTGGTAGGGGGTTTGGCTGTGTTCTGATTGGTTGGGGGGTTAGCCGTGTTCTGATTGGTTGGAGGCGTGTTCTGTTCAGGTGGGACACAATACAGAAGCCTGATGATGGCAGATGAGATTCTGCCGAAACATTGCTACAACTTTAAAAGCACAACTATAATGACGTGGGAAAATACCCGAACAAAGCTGAATACCATACATGTAAGTACCCGCGAAAACTTAAGAACACACACACACACACACATACACACACACTGTATGTGTTTAAGTGGATGAGCACATATGAAACACCTCTTAAAAAAAAATTAAGCAGCCAAATTTTTTTCCAGCTTATAGAGCTGCTTCGGAAACTGATCCAAGATGTTTCCATATGGGTACATTTTGTCCAGTAAATTGACATGACTGTGCATGGCTGTATATCCTATGAAGATAGACAGGAACAGCTTTGGAAAAGGAAGAATGAACCTATAAAAAGACATGGTTGCGTGGGATACATTTCAAAGCACTTTTTGTGAAAAATTTGCAGCACTCTAATATGTACACTGGAAATTCCAATAAAGAGCTTGGACAGTGTGTATTTACATGTGAATATACAAAAAAGATGGAGAGAGCGCAAGAGACAAAGAAAGCCAAATAATATTAAACATTTATAAAACAAGATAGACATTGGTTGTCTGAACTGCAGAGAGCAGCTGTCACTTTCACATTCACAATTGTCACATACAGGTTCACACCCTTCCCTTCCCTGCCTCTAGAAACCAGAAAAGGAAAAATAAAGTATGGAAATGAGAGAAGTAGAAAGTAACTATTCAGGCAAGGCAAGGCAATACAAGAATGGGAAGAAAGAAAAGAGTACAAAAACCTCCTTTAGAATTCAAGGAAAGAGCTAAATTCACCAACAGAAGAAATAAGTAATCTATTTGCTGATCATTTGGAGGCAGAACAATAGCATGCAGCTCATCTATAACAACAATGTCAAACACCTCACCTAAATTGAAGATATAAATATTGGCAGATGTATTATATACAGCAGTTATTTTAACATTTTGGGGATGAGACCAATAGGAATAGCACTTTCACAGTGCTTTACAGCCCTCTCTAAGTGGTTTACAGAGTCAGCAAATTGCCCCCAACAATATGGGTCCTCTTTTCACTGACCTCAGAAGGATGGAAGGCTGAGTCACCCTGGCAAAATTCGAACTTCTGGAGAGAGCAGTCTGTTAGCCTGCAGTACTGCATTCTAACCACTGCACCACCATAGCTCTTACAACAATATAGGAAGCTAACTCTTTTCAATAAAATTATTAACCTGACTTGCTGATATTACTAGACAAAACTTTCTAATCCTACCCAGCAGTGATACAAACTGAGCTCAAAATTTCCTATGTGCAAAGCAAGATTCTCCTATTGATTCAGGTCTCACCCAGGGACTAGCCAATGCATAACCTGATTAGCCAATGCATAGCCAATTTAAACTTATTCAGTTTGGGGAGTGGATAATCTGAAAGATTCTGTTCTGTGGACCATAGAATCTTAGAGTTCTAGATAAGCAAAGAACATTACCTTCTTCAGCATTTTGCAGCCATTCCACAAACTTCTTCATTTGATCAAGAAACACACTTTTGCCTTTAGAAAGATGTGCCTCTTTGAACCATTTCAAAATAGCACCTTCACTTAGGACATCAGCTGAAATTCAAATTCAGAAAAATAACCATTAGGAAATATTTTTGGGTAAAGGGTTGAACAAGTAATCCTCCACTAACTATGAAAATAGAAATCAAAATTTCCATTGCTAAGCAAGGCAACTGTTAAGTGAATTGTGCCCCATTTTATAACCTTTTTTTGCCACAGTTCTTAAATACTGCAGTTAAATGAATTCTGCATTTGTTAAGTGAATCTTGCTAGGAAAGTTACAAATGATGACATGATTCTGGGACACTGCAACTGTCATAAATATGCACCCAAATTTTGATCATGTGACCATGGAGATGATGCAGCAACCATGATATGAAAAACAGCTGTAAGTTACTTTTTTTGTGTTGTAACATTAAATGTTCACTAAACAGATGGTTGTAAGTCATGAGCCACCTATAAATACTATTGCTGCTTAAAAAAATACATCCTGAAATAATTTTACTGTGGACAGAGACAAACAACAAGGCTTCTGTTGGATATTACGTTATGAAGGAAACAAAGATTCAGATGTACAATATTCCAGAGAAGAAAAATGAACTAGAGGGAAGGAAGCCTAATTAAAAGATCAGTGGAAAGATCCGTTTACAGTATATTGTGTATCATTTGCTTAGAAATGAAGAGAACGGAGAAATCTTAATAAACTATAAAAGAGCACAAAAGTGAAACATGCCACCTAGAGCAGGGGTTGCCAACCTTTTGGACCTCAGGGACCACCAAGCTCATAATTTTAAATCCCAGGGAGCACTAACCAGTTCTGTGGGCATGGCCTAATTTGTGGGTGTGGCTTGGTGGTCATGTGACTGTCCAGGCATGGCTTATATGTAAATATTATAAATATTTATATAAATATTGATTTTTTTATTTAAAAAGAGCAACTTTTACCCAAAATCAGGTAAAGCAGGCAGGCAGATTGAGTTGCTCACAGAATCACAGATTCATTCAGAGATCTATCTGCCATCGGCTAGCTCAGTCTCTCAAATTTGCTTGCCAAGAGTCTGCACAGAGTAATAGAACCTTCAGTCCTAAGGGAGGTTCGGCTATGCTTAAAAGCAGAGCCAAAGATCTAAATACTAGCTAGAAAGCAAGAAATCCAACCATTTCCTGCTTAGCTAATCTAAATTTCCTGGCACAGCAGAACAGCTGATGGTCGGAAAAAGGAAAAATAGCAATTTAGCAGGCAAGATCGCTGGGTAAGGAGTGAGTGGGCGGGGAGGGTTCCTGTGGGCCATGTGGGCGGCACAGCCTTGTGTTTCTGCACAGCCTAGATTAATTGCTTTGTGGGGGGTGCTCTGGGGGTGAGATTTCTCTGCGGCCCACCAAAATTTTCTCATGGCCCACCAGTGAGCCACAGTCCACTGGTTGGCAACCACTGACCTAGAGGAATTCAAAGGCCAATTTATTTATTTTTTTATTTGAAAAAAGTCTGAGTGTAACTTTTGTATGCTTTCCACATATACCTTTTTTTACAAGATAAAGATTTTGTCTCAAGCAATTGTCTTTGAACATCTCTCAAGCTTGCATTTTGGAATAGTAATTTAAAGATGATTACATAGGTATTTTAAATGCTGCTATAATTTTTGATGAACTTTTACAGGACATGGTGTTCCTCCAATAACTCCAGAGAATCATCACTTAGAAGAAAGCACACAAACTGATGCACTGAGAGAATAAAACTTTAGAGATTGTTTACTACATTTCCAAAGAAGAGCAATAGACATGTAAGAAAAGACATATAGCAAAATAAGCTGTGAAAAATCATCATGCTTTCTGATTTGTAAGTCAAGATAAATTATGTTTCCTTCCATATGACTGGAGGAAAAGAGCCACGAATACCAAATTAGTTGGCAGGGTTTATCCATTAAAACTGAATATGCAACAGTTGTGAATGAAGGGCAGTACAGAATATATTCTATAATCTTACAGAAATGAGAGATTTGATGAAATTATTGAAGTCAGACTTTTAGTTAACCAACGAGCAAGGATTTGATTTATAAAGAATGGGAATTAATAAAAATGCTTAGTTTGATAGCTTTAAAAGTAATATATTCCACAAATAAATGTTTACAATTAAGCTAATTGGAAAGAGATTTTAAAATCACATCTTCACATAGCATCATAATTTATCTGTAGAATTCATTAGTACATGAGCTATTAACTTAATGGGTTTGAAAGAACACTGAATCTATTATATGAAGGTGTGTGAAAGCCCACTAGTTTTTTTAATCAGTACATTTCAAATATGAATTACAAGGGAAAACAGGGAAAGAAATATATTTCTTCATTTCCTGTTAATAAGCACCTCAGAGGTATCCAGTTGGCCACTATGAACACAAGGTGGCAGAGTAAGATGGATCTTGACCTGGCCCATAACAGCTATTGTTATATTCTGAACTTCTTTCATATTTAAGAGATTCAGGTAAAAATGGGGGAAGGAACATATATTATAAGATATGGGTTTCACATTGAGATAAAGAATAAGATAGTGGCTTAATAAAATATATTTTTTCAGGAAAGAACAGGCTTACTGACAGAGGTCGTATTCAGCAGGTTCTGACCAGTTCTGGAAAACCGAAAACGGAAATTTTGAGTAGTTCAGAGAACTGGCCAATCCCTCTTCTGACTGGAGATTTTACAGTATCCTTCCCCTGCCACGCCCACCAAGCCACGCCCACAGAACCAGTAGTAAAAAAAATTGAATTCCCACCACTGCTTACTGACAACAAACAAACAAAATTATTCCATTTAAAATGGAATACAAACAATACAAACAAAACTGTTACGAAATTGTTCTATTGAAGCTGTTTTTTCCCCTTCAAGTATTTATAGCAGCAATCCCAACAAGAAGCCAGCCAAAGAATTTTGGTTTCCATGACAACTAATCTAAGCTCGATGTGAACACAATCCTTAAATAAAACTGAAAATGGGGAAAGGAAGAAACCCAATAATTTAGCCAAAGAATTGACTGCTTTCATGTAAGCTTTTTGCACAAAAAATAAATGGCGTTTTCTTTTTGGAAACCTCTTCCCCTGAATTATGGGCTATTTAATATTTTTAACACTCATGTTCAACTTTCAAATCTTTGTAGCTGTGCCTGAATGCAAATTCAGTTCAGCCAGCAGAGAAGGAACCAAAAAAACCTGTCTTGATTTCATTTCTGCTCCTTTTATTGCCAGAAACAAGTGATAGAAAGCAGCCTTGGTATAAAGCATACATCTACTTTTAATCAAATAGGGAGACTATCTTGTGGAAGATGATCATGTTCTGGGTACTTCGGTTCATTAAATTTTATTATACTACTTGAGACCCAAAAAGATGTCAACTCTAGTCCCTTCTATTTTTTAACTTGATGAATGACCCACAACCATTTAAAAGCCTGGAATGACCTCTTTTCCAAGAAAATTGCAAACACTAGCAGGATGTTTCCAAGAATTCTAACTTGTCAAAAAGAGCAATATGGAGATAAATCCTATCCCACTGTTGTTTCCCCACACTGAACAGACATATTGGTGGAAGAAAGTATAGTAATATTTTTTTAAAATGGAAAGAAAACAAAAATATAAAGGCCAGTAGGCTTTTATGGACTTATGTTATACCATGACTTTTTGTTAGCTTGGTCTGAACAACTTTAACCTTTTTTAAAGAGGACTTGTCAACTGTTGACCTTATCTACGGTATAGTCAGAATAAATCCAAAGAATAGGTACTATAATATAGGAATAGGAATATTGTTTATTGGCTAAGTGTGATTGAACACACAAGGAGTCTGTATCCATCTATATCTGTATCCTGTGCATAAGTTCTCAGTGTACATACAAGCAACAAAGTGCATGAGTCTATGATAGCAGCTATAATTCTGCCCCATATCCTTCTGGAGAATGTAGCAGGACACTAACGATGCAATGATAACCACAAGAAGAGTAGCAATTATGATTTTCATCATATTTTGATATTTTAAAAAAATATGTTGGAATTGAGAAGTTTCTTGGAGGTCGCCTTCTCCACTCTCAAATCACCCAAAATTGTCAGCCTTTGTGCTGACAAAGTTCAGCAGTGCAATCTTGAAGTATTGATGGTTTGTGCAGAGTCCAAAGGATTCCATTCCTTGTGTATCAATTTAGTGTATTCTACATGAATTTCCAGATGAAATTTGTTTACATCTATATGGCAAATAAAATAGGAACTACCTCATATCCTCTCATATTGGCCCACCTGTGCAAATCTTTTTAATAAATAAGCTAGAAACAAAGACTCTATCAACTTCTAGCAGATTCTTTGGCATACTAAGCCAGACAATGAAATATTTTCAAATTAATTTTTTCATTCTCCTTAATTTATCACTCTTTTGTCATTTCAGTTTTGTTCTATAATATATTTTCCACCTACATTATATTAATAGACCATCAAAATGTAAGTTTCTCTATATAATATATATGTCTCTCTATATTGGTATATCTTCCCTCTGACCTTAAAAATCCTTTTTTATAGCAAGAGTTACTTGAATTAGTTGATACATAATTCAGTTGATTAGGCTGATCAAATCACTAGTCAATTTTAATTAAATCAAAATAGAAACATCTGGTAATGTTTTGACTTTTGATCTGAAACCTAATTTTTCTGTAATGCATTTAGACCCAGGGGAATAATAATAGCCATGCAAGTGATTACAGGAAGCAGGAGAACTTATAATCTCTTGGGTGTTATTGTGTGATGTATATGTGCCAACAAGTAAAATTGCTAGGGAATTCTGACACCTTTTGCTAAACATAGTCTGCAGCTGAAAATAAAGTTCCATTGCAGCATAGAAAAGTCTTTCCATATTGATATTCTGGCAAGACATGTCCTGAGCAACATGCTGGACTTTTGGAAGCTGCTCCGATAAACGCTTAAAGCTTGTACTCTTTTGTTAACACTGGTAAAACTACGAACACCGTATAATATCAAAATGAAGTATGAACTTTATATGAAAAATATCAATACTCCTCCTTCCAGGTTTGGCAGACCATCACTCTTCTGAAAAAAAAAAAAAAACATAGCTTTTTACCCACACATGTGGAATCCAGAGGGTCACATAGCCGTGGGACTCCCTTCATCATTTTAGCTAATTTTTAACTGGGGTCATCCTACCTTGTCTTCTTTTAAATTCATTTTTAAATTTTTAATTCTTATATGCTCTTTTTATATTTTTACACTTTATTGTACACTGCCTTTGCTGAGGGAGAAAGTTTTCAAAAATATGAAAAATAAATAATTATGATTGGAATAAAAATATATAAACAGCTGTCATATTTTTATTATTTTTTCATATACTGAAGTAAAAAAGAGAGATTGTATTGAGACCTACTCATCCACAGTTGATCACACAAGAAGGAAATACAATTTTATCAAACTTGATTGCATTTTATGATTTACTTTAACAACGATGGATCATATTTTGGTATATTCCTTATATATGATAAGTTTTCATGACAACTAATTTCTTATTTACATGTACTAGATTATTTCTTTTAAAAAATCTTTTTTTAACGTATCTGGAAATTTGTATGTGTCTTGAAATTTGAGAGACAGTTTATTGCAATGTTTAAGGCACCAGACTAGAAACCAGGAGAATGGAAGTTCTAATCCCACTTTAGGCATGAAAGCCAACTGGATGACTTTGGGCCAGTCACTCTCTCAGTCCAGCCCACCTCACAGGTTTCTCATTGTGGGGAAAATAGGACCAAAAAAAAAGAGAGAATTAGCTGTGTTGGCTGCCTTGAGTTATTTATAAAAATAATAACGATGGGATAAAAAAATTCTAAGCAATAAAAATAATTTTGAAATAAAAAAAGATAGATAAAAGAAAGTACCTTTATAAAAGAGCACCACAATCTTCTGAAAGGCTTTCATAAAGTGGATGTTATCATAACAATATTCCTGAACTTTCTGAAGAAGGATCAATTCTGACTGGCCTTGGGTGCTGAAAACCGCTAGTAAAGGTGCATATTGCTAAAAAAATCAATGGAGAAATTAGTTATTTATAGACAAATACTAAAGAGAATATTATCCAAATGTTTCAAAGCTAGTGAAGTTGATTTTGCAAAATTTTCAATACAGGTAGTCCTCAACTTGCAACTTGATTGTTCAATGTTACAGTGGCATTGAAAAAAGTGACTCATGACCATTTTTCACATTTATGGCCTTTGTAACACGATCATGTAATCAAATTCAAATGCTTGGAAGTTGGTTCTTACAAATGACCGTTGCTGTGTCCCAAAGTCATGTGATCACCTTTTGCGATCTTCTGACAAGCAAAATCAATAGGGAAGCCAGGTACACTTAACAACCAGGTTAGTAACTTATCAACTGCAGCAATTCACTTAACTGTAGCAAGAAAGTTCCTAAAATGGAGGGGAGGGGTAATCACTTAACAAATGTCTCATTTAACAACATAAATTTTGGACTCAATTGTGGTTGTAAGTTGAGGAATACCTATATTGGATGTTTTTTTAAATTTTATTTTAGTACGTTTATGTTGGATTTAAGTGACTATTAGATACTCTTGCAATATATAAACCCAGGAGGCAGAGTGATAGGCAACTATGCATATACTCATTTAGTTTCTAGTCCTCTGTATGCCATAAGAATGACACTCAAATTGAAATTGTATAATAAAATTAAGCTACAATCAACTATTTAGCTTGTATGGTGGTTCAAATCATCCACAAAGTCTCCAGGCAATATAATCGTGAAATGCACATTGGTGTGGGTGTAGGTGTGTATGTGTGTATCGCATACATCTCATAATTAGCAATTATAAATTACAGCAAATTATAAATAAATTATAGCAAAGGCACATGGAATGCTGTTACCTTCCACAGAAGTAGTACCTATTTATCTACTCGCATTTGTATGCTTTCAAACTGCTAGGTGGGCAGAGATGGGGCAAGATTAGGAACTCACCCCAATAAGCAGTACTTGGATTTCAAACTGCCAACCTTCTGGTTGACAAGCCCAAAATCTTAACTGCTAGGCCACTGTGCCTCTTCATGCCTCTTTATTAGCAATCATACTTCTATTCAAACAGCTGCTTACACAGTTAGCTTTAGGATTCAGACCTATGTTCTCAATGTACTAATATTTCCCACATGCACACCTTCAGATGCTTAAGTGCTTGTTCTGCAACCAGTTCTTCTTTCTTGTTCCATTCAATGGCATTCATTATACAAATCCATAGGAGTCCAATCACTGCTGGTTCCTGCAGATCATTTCTTTTCATTTCTTCTTTTACATAAAGCACCATCTGGAATGGGAAGTTTAAAAGAAAACAAAAAAAGCATCGTTTTTCAAGCCATTACCTTAAATAACACTGCTCTTTCTGCCACCAATGTCTTTCAATGAGGGTATTTTTGCATTTTCTTTTGATCCAGTTCTCAAAGAAAATAGAGAAACCAATAAAAAATATAAAAAAGAAGGAAGCATGTCATATTCCTGTATGCTTTTGATTTGATTTTGTAGGCCAGTGTTCACACACCAGACTCATTCCATATGAAATGTTCAACTGCATAAATTAAAAGAAAATTCACCACACTTTTATCATCATAGAGTGACTGAAAATTCCCTACAGCTGTAAAATCCATATAGGGAAGCAGCTTTGTTTCCATGATAATCACTAAAGGGACTTCCTTTAGTGATACACTAAGCTATTCCATCTTTTTGATAAAGATTATCCTTGGATTGCAGTCAATTCAAGTGCAGAAATGTCACCTTTTCACTCATTCATATTCAACAACTATTACGACTGCTATCTTGCACTGTAAGCAGTGAGTCAGTCTTGTTAATGTCACAAGTCAACAATTGCAGCAATAGATAGCATTGACAACATCTTACAGGATCCCTACTCTAAGGTCCACAATTGGGAGGGAGAGCAACACAGACTATTCTGAGAATCTGCCCGGTTGTTTTTCCACAGGTGCATTTGAGGATTTTTTTTCTGGATTTCTTTTTCACTTACATCTCAGGGTTGTTTTTTTTATTGACTATAGCAAAAATGTATTAAAACTTACCTATAATTACTCATGCTCGGGTTTACATGATTAACTTTTATGTATGCAAACCCTTATGAAAATCAGAGCAGTAACATCAACAGTCTATGGAACAAGCATTACATTGAGCTATTCTGTTCTTATAAGCTACATTTTATTTTTCTCTTGTGGCATACTCTCTCTGTGGCTTAAAAAAGAGAAAAACTATTTTTTTTCACCTCTTTAATTGGACAATCTTGAGAAAGACGTTCCTGGAGTTCTCTTTGTAGTTCTTTTCGGGTCCCTAATGACTGCTGGACTCTAAGGAAGTCTGAAAGCTCTTTTAGACCAGCATCTGTGAAATATTTAGCAAAATGATCCACATTCTGCCGGTTGGCTGGAAATAGTTCCTAGAATAGAGTAATAAAAAGAAAATTATTTGTTTTTGTGGTCATTTTAAATCTGTTCAGAATCATAAATAATCTGAGAGATGGGGGAATACTGTATGTCATATACATCCTTACACACTTGCATATAAAATCCTTCATTAAGTTGCAGAAAGAGGCAAGAGAGCATACATTAATCACAAAGAACCTAGATGACTTACTCAAGTTGCCACAGTTCAAAAACAGCACTTGGAGAGTCACTGACTCTAGAGAGTTAAATGGCTGAGCATAACTGCTAGCTATTTAGATAACTCTCAATAGTTTATCTGGAGGATTAAAGCACTTTAAACAGCTGAAGGGATTAAAGAAAGGAAACTGACATATGGACCAGCATCCAGTTCTGACCACAAATCATTTGAATAATTCAAACTGTTTTCCAAATTATTACGATGGAATGTAGTCGGCTGGATTCTCATGAAGGAGGGAGTGTATTCCAGTAACAGACATCAGGGTCCAGAGGGAGAGAAAGAGGTGAAGACAGTCTTCCCTAATGGTTGTCAAAGTATATACCTATTAATCATATAATGGGTTACCCATATAGCCAATCTTTTGTGGTGGTCAGTAAGCAAATGGCACAGTTGTAAAGCAACCACCATGGCCATTAAGCGAATGCATCAGTCATTAAGCAAACCAATGGTTTGCCGTGGACTGATTTTGCCAGTTTTCTGTAAAAAACAAAACATGATCAAGTGACTGTGGAATGCTGCAAATGGCCATAAATATAGTCCTGTTTGCTGACCACCCATCATGTGGTCACATGACTGTGGGGAGAGCATGAGAACATTAGAACTGGACTGTTAAGTACACTTGGGAGGTTCATTATAACTTTGAATGGTCACTAAGTAACTGGTCATAAATCAAGGACTACCTGCATGCTTATTTTAGAATAAATCCAAGAAGCTATTTATTTTGAAGTAAGTATTAATCAGACTAGTTTACATTATTACATTACATTAAAATCTGAAATATAAGAAAAGGTTCACATAGATAATCTATATAGATCTTTGCATAAAAAAATTAGATCTCTGCATAAAGAAATTCTTGTATTTCTTTGTATAATTAATTTTAAATGGCAATTAAGTAATTAATTCCTTAAATAGGAGATATAGTGAATAATTAACAGAAGAAAAAAACTTGTTTATACTAGTCACACTAGATGGGATTTTATTTACTTGAGGATTTAAATGACCTATTTTCTACTCTTCACTTCTGGTACTTTTTAGTTGTTTTTTTTACAGTACTGATGTTAGTTCCTTATTGATAATTTTCTTCAGATTTTATGCTTTTGCCATTTTAAAATTAATTATTTATATTTTATTTATCTAGAGTTTAATTTTTTTTACTTCAGGATTCCTAGAATAACTTGCTTATTGGTCACATAGATTATAAGAATAAGAATACTTACGAGCAGTCTCTTGTCTAAGTTAGCCTTTCTTAAAGAAGAGGTAACAGAGTTGGCATCTTTCTCAAGCATCCATGCTTTAAAAAGCTTGACAGCAAAAGAGGCTGCTATACCTACAGAAAATAAGATATCATAAGCAAAGAGACTGTGGTGCTTATTTAATTCAGTCTTCTATCTAATCTAATACTCTCTAGACATGTTTAGATCAGTATTTATTAACCTCGCCAATGTTAAGATGTATAGACTGGCTAGGCATTTAAGGGCATACATCTTAAAGTTGCTGAGGTTAAAAACTTATGTAATAAACTACTATTCTCATTATATTTTGCTGTCATAACTATTCTGGCTCTGAGGGGAACTGCAATCCAAAATCTCTGTAGGATAACGAATTGGGGAGGTCTGATTTGATCTCTAAGATTCAACATTGGTCAGACAGAAGAGAGTGTATGACTGGCGGTCTCTCATATACTATAACATAATGGCTTTCATTGAAAGCCCGTACTGTGCTCTTTCTAAAACTGTAATGCTTAAACTATCTGCAGTAATACAAAATATAGTTATATATTTATACATATTCAGATTATACATATGCAAAACAATTTAGTAAACCAGAAAAAGATAAGTTTTCACTAAATATTTGGATGTCTAAAACTCATTATTTTACAAGAAAGCAAAAGAGAAAAGGAATGGAAGAAACATAAATGAACAGCATGTGTGATTTGGGCAAACACAAAATCTAAGCAGCTGAGTTATTATAGTTAGCATATGTTGAGAACAACTAGAAACATAACTTATTACATTTCTAGAACAGAAGAAAAACTCATCTGAATTCAAAATAGGTTCAACTGTGCCTGTCCATGGAACAGTGTTTCTGATATTTAGCAGTTTTAAGATATGTGGACTTCAACTTCCAATATTCCCACAACCATGTTGATGACTGAGAGAATTCTGGGAGTTGAATTCCATACTTTCTGAAGTTGCTGAGATTGTGAAACACTGTCTACGGGAATTTCATCAAAGGACAGGCAAAGAAGAATCCTCCCTTTTGTCCCTGATGCAAATTGTTACATCCTGAAAAATTTAGATGAAAGAATTGCAGGCACCCCAAAATTGTAACCAAGTGGGAGAGAACAGTAATAGCCTTTTTATCTCTCCCTTAATCCAGACTTTCATGTGTTATTAAAAAATAAATAAATTTTCAGAGATTTATTGAGGAATCATTCAGCTTTCCCTTAATCCCACAATGAAGAGTCACCATTCTTTAGGGAGCAGACCTTTGGCATTGCATCACTATTATTAGAATATATCCTGTTACTTAGCCTTCTCTCAAAGATAAATTATACTTGAAAGTTGGAATACATATAAATAACACCCTGTTAACAAAAAGCCTCAAAATATTTAATCAATGCAGAAGATAATGGATTTTAATATAAGAATTTTTTGTTTAAAAGGAAAACAACGGGAGAGAACTGGATTATCTCTTTTCTTTCTAATACGTTCCAGTTGCTAGTTTGTTTGTTTTTGATAAGAGAGAAGTACCAGCTATTAAGCACACTCAATTTTATAAATACAATTGCCCTAACGTGTTACTTTGGCCATTAGATTCAAGGTCATTTTTTGGAAATACTGATTTCCTCTAACTTCCTCAGCCTTTTTCTGAGAAGGTAATTATTTCCTTTTAATGAACTAAGCCCTGCAAAGATACTTCTCATTAACAAAACAAAACCCATTAAATTCAGAAGATGACATTCAGGATTCTCAAATTAAATGCTAGTCACTCAATATTAACATGATGAAATAACAAAATTATCAATAAACAATTTATACAATGCACAGCATGTAAGGTTTCCAATTTATTAATATCTAAGAGGGAATGCAAAATACAAATCTGAAGAGATTGGTCCCTAATTCTAAAGCCACAAGATCAAGGATCCAAAATAAAGATAACAAAGTTATCCTATGGGAGAAGATAATGTACATCCTTTGGGGAAAGTGGAGAATCTCTAATTACCTTCTTTGACAATGCTGTCCGTGAAAAGGCTTGTTAAAATGGTAGCAGGTAGTATTCCATTAGCTAATAAGATTCCAGTGAGGATTGCCAATTTTGCTTGCTCAGTTTCAGAAAAAGCTTTAAGAAATAACAGGAGCTGTGAGGCAACAAAAGAGGAACATGTTTTAGGAAGAATCTAAACACAGAAAACAACCTGAAGTGCCCAGGGCTACCCAAAATAGTTAATAAATCTGACTTTTAAATTACCAAAAACTACCTTAAAAGTTAAAGCGCTCATCAGTTTATGAGAATGAACAGTATATATATTAAATCAACTGAATGTAAAGTCAATCCAATTAATCTCTGCTATGAAAGTAATTCAACATATAATAGGCAGAATAAGAATAAGCAGGGTAGAAATATTTATTTTGTTTCAGAAGAGGGAGAACACAGGTACAAAGTAAACTATTAATTACACTTTGATCCACAGCTTTGAATCAAAAGTTCAACGTTGTATAATTATACATTGCTGACCTCAAAATGCAATACATAGACAAAATGAATGATAATTGTTCCAATTCCTGGAAAACTTAAACTATCCTCTAATTTAAACATGCATTTCTGACCTTTCAACAAATCAATATGTAGACTCTATGATTCAAAATATTTGCTATTTATCATAGAGCTATGGTACACATATAACTTTCAATAATCATTGGCTGTGCTTGTAAAATAAGTAAAGGTAAAGTTGTATAAGCTTTTTGCAATTATCTAAAAAGAGCTTGATGTTTTCTTCTAAATATAAAACTTATATTCAGAATTTTTTAAAAAAACTTTTTATCTAGTCTGTGACTTTGTTAAAAATAAATTTAAAATTTATCTATTTTTTTATATTTTATTGTACTATTTTATAAAGATACATATAAAGATTTTTCATTATACATATTGATTGTATTTATTATCTATTGGTTACCTATTTTCATTGAGTTGAAACCAATTAGACTATTTTCCATAGCATCTTCACTTCAAATAGTGCAAATGAGAGCTAATTTGTTTTGTGGTTAAGTCACCAAGCTAGAATCTAGGAGACTCAGTTCTAGTCCTGCCTTAAGCATGAAAGATGGCTGGGTGACTTTGGGATAGTCACTCTCATCCCACTCCATCCTTCACAGGGTTATTGTTGTTTATTGTTGTGGAGAAAATAAGAAGAGGAAAAGGTGTTAAGTATGTTTGCCACCTTGAGTTATTTATAAAAATAATAAATATGGTTATAAATACATTTGAATAATAAGACTATTTTGTGGAATTTATTAACCATACTAGTCAAGACCTATCTATATTTTTGCCTCAAATCCACCCTCAAATCCTAGTGCTTGCTAGCTATGTTTCTTAGCATAATCTCTTAACAGAAATTATTGGATTTGACGCCAACTCTTTAAGAGGGAATACATTTAAGGAAGTTCAGTTTATAGATGTAAGCAAAATATATTTTAGTTATTGTTACTACAAAAACCTGAAAAATCTATGCAAATATGAAGCTATCATAAAAACTGATATTTCAGCACCCGAAGTAGTTTCTTATTGTATTTGAAACACATTAAAAACTTCTACATGTTAGAATAAAACTACCTTTTTAATTTCATCTTCAAATGCCTTTTCCAAATATTTATATCTTCTGATCAGCTTATTGAAGACCTAAACATGAAAAAATAAACATTTAACACCAGTACAAACCAGTTATACAACTGTCATCTATAAAATGTTTACAAATAATGATAAAACTAAAATGTAATTAAATATATATTTATTTAATATACTTATTCATTAACTCTAAACACACAGACAGATTTTTGTGATAACAAATTACCATGATGGTGGGTATACTACTTAATGCTGTGGGTAAAGAAGAAAGCAGGAACATAAATCAATATTTGCCATCAATAACTATTAAGCAATTTATTTCTCTACTGATTATGATTTATCCTATGGTAATAAAATATACTCTATCAGATATTATAAAGAATAAACCACTAATTTAGTAGTTAAATTCATTTATAGTCATTAACTCAAACTGAATCTTGAGGAAGGCTTCAAATATAATCCTCAATTTACTGTTAAAACAAGATTGGAGTTATTTTCATAGGAAGGGATAACTCAGATTACTAGCATTAGCTGGCTCATCAGATAAAGTAATCTACCCATACAGACTAAACCATATAGTTTTAGCAACTTGAATTAAATAATTTCACATTGAATGTAGGACTACTTTTGAAAATGATCCAACTGCTTTAATTAATAAAAATATAACATTTAGAAAGCTAGCTGAACAAGGTGAATGGGATTACAGGTTGTCCTCAATTGATAATCATTCACTTAGACACTATTCAAAGTTATGACACTACTCCCAAAGTACTTATAGCCAGTTTCCAACTTATAGTCACTGCATTGCCTTTGCGGTAGTTTATCCTAAAACAGACCACAAGGAAACTGCAGCAGCATCCATCTCTCCCACCCATCCCACAGGGTTCTTTCAGGCATTGGCCTATTCCCAAGCTATGAAATTTATATAGCTGCTGATCTCACTGCCAGATCTATCTATCTACCTTCCTACCTACCTACCTAGCCATGCATCCATTCACCTACCTACCTACTGGCTGTGTACCAATCTGAAATGACAATCTACTGTCTGACAATCTGATCTGATCTAATCTAATCTAACCTAGCAGTCCACTTGGCTTCAGTTTGAAAATAGATGACAATTACGGCCAGGAGGCTTTTGCAAAATTGTATCTGGTTTACCAGTTAGGACCTTTTCTGGACTGGGAGACCCTGGTTACAGTTGTTGTAAGCTACCTAGAGTTGCTTAAGATGGGCAGCCATATAAATCTTTTCATTAATGATACCTTAGTAATCTCTTGTTTGATTACTACAACCCATTCTATCAGGAGTGGGATTCAAATTTTTTAACAACCGGTTCTGTGGATGTGGCTTAGTTGGTGGGTGTGCTTCGGTGGTCATGTGACTGGGTGGATGTAGCTTGGTGGTCATGTTGGCTGGGGGTGGCCAACTCAATATCACTCACATCGAGGCACGCATCTCCTCACTTGGCCTCTCATGACTGTGGGGATGCGTAAGTGTGAAAAATGGTCATAAGTCATTTTTTTTCAGTGCCATTGTAACTTTGAATGGTCACTCCACACAAGCAAAGTACCAGCAAAGGAGGGGAAAAAAACTCCAGAGAAGTTCCTGACACAGGAAGTCTAGTCCTGCCAAGAATGTAATCAGGGTTAATGGAGAGGCAGTTTCTGTAAGCAACACCAGAATGTTTCCTTCCTGCCTTCCTTACAAGATTAGGCCAGTAATTTCTTCTAACAACCGGTTCTCCGAACTGCTTAGAATGTTAACAACCAGTTCTAGCGAATAGGTGCAAACTGGTAGAATCCCACCCCTGCATTCTATTTGTATCTTTCACTGAACACCATCCAGAAGCTTCAACTACATTGCCAGCTTGCTTTTGGATTCAATTCAAAGTACTTTATTATAAGGCTATACATTATAGCCTTAGATAACTTAAGGCATTGTTATCTATGGAACCCTTTACTCCCAATGGCTTCTGCCCAATAGATTCAGCTCAAGCTTGACTTTGTGGTCTCTACTCTTAGGAATTTTGATTTACAGGGATCACAGAATACAGACTAGCTTCCACCTTGTTCAAATTCATGAAATAAAAATGGATTAGAAGTGGAATTAATATGGGCAGCAAATATCGTGCTTTGATATCTGAGTGCTTTACAAATGCTGAAATCTTCTTTAGTTTCAGCTGTACTACTCATAAACTTTTAGGTGTGATGATGATGATGACATTTGGACTGGAATTCAGATAAGCCCTAATAAATAATTAAATAGTTTAATCTCATCAATAGTATTTTTGCTGAGTATGCATGTATGCATTTATTAAAACATAAAGCTTCAGAATAATACTTCAAAATATAAACAACTATGATCATCTGTCTCAATGTTTGACTGAACCTGAGCATAATGTCGGAGAGCATCATGATCTTCAACTGCAGAAAATACACACTGGTTTGTCATCTTGGTCTTATCATTATCATCTATTCTTGTCCCACCTGGAGCTGAAAAAGCACATTTAAAATAATCCCATAATTAAATCTTATATTATCCACATAGGAAAAAGAAAGTGTTCATTACACACGCTTATCTAGTACCTGTGTTCAGAAGAAACATCTGCCACATGAAATAAGGCTTAATACAAAATGTTTTCAACCATGCAACTACAACATAAGAAACAAGGCTTATAATGATACTGCCTGTAATGCAAACTCTTCTATACTCAATACTATTTCACATATTTACAGCAATCATAGATATCCAAAGTTTGTAAAACAAACTTAAGATATACACCACATACAAAAAGGAAAATCAAGACAGGAACAATTATTTAACATATGGCTAACAGAATCAAGGAGACATGTTGCTAGAACTAGCTTTGATGGAAGTGTTGAAGTTTTCTATGTGACATAGGTACCTAGCATGCTGCCGGCTATCAAAATATCAAATAGAGTGTCAGCATAGCGCCGGTAATCTAGCCTTGAGCCGGTAGTATCCAGAAATTTGGCTACTGCTTCCAGGTCATCACCAGCTTCATTAAGACCTTGGACAATTGTATCCCGGAAGACAGTGGGTTCAAATTTCTCCTTTTCATCTGTAATAGAAAATTACTATTAATAAGTTTACACAATGTATTAGTTCCCTATATTTTTCAGCTATTTGCCATTCTTAAAATTATGCTTATTTAATGTATTAGTCTCTATGCTACTGAGAATGCTGAATAAATTGTGTTCCATTTTCCTGCTATTTGTCTCTGTTATAATCAGTTTTAACTTGAATGCTTTTAAATTTATCTTGTTATAGAAATCCAAAGCAGTATTTTTAATACTGATTTTGCATACTTTCAAATTTATAATACAAACAGAAACTGTATGTTAATTGAATCGATTTCTTAAGGTTGACTGGAAGGGCAATTAACATTTCAGATGACAACATTCTTCTTTCTGTACAGGTATACTTTATATTCTAATAATAGCAATAAATAAACTCAGCAATTACTATAAAGCCTGTCAGATGGTCAGGTCATACCAAGTTTATATCTGCACTTTTCTTTCTTCATGTCAAGTACATATCAGATTAGGAACATACCCTTCTGTTTCAATATAAGACACATTATAGTCTCTTCTATTTCAAAGGAATTAACAGTTTATTGAAACAGGACAATATTAGTAAAACTTAAAATTAGCTTATTTTAAAGTGTGATAATTGATATAGTTTGACACAAGATGGGCAGCTACATAAATGTTTTAAATAAATCAATAAATGTGCTACAGTAAATCATAATGCACCTTGTTTTAACCAAATACAATACATAAACAAACTTCTATGGTTTATAACTCATTCAGTGCTGTGTGATCTCAGCAATAGTTTCCAACATACTATTAAAGCAAATTATTAATTATTTTGTGTGTTTTTTTGGGGGGGGGAATAAAACATACAATACTGTATAAAGTATAAGATACTAAAGTACTATTTCAACATTACTACAATAAATTGTTAAGCCTACCCCTCTTCCTTGTTTTGAACCGCTGGCCTGTTAGAACTGGCTTCTGATTCTTATTCATAAAATTTCTGGAATACAAAATTTAAATATTAGTTTAAAACAGAAATATTTTAAATCAAAAGACTATTAAATAATATTAAATTGTAAGTACAAAAGATTACATCACTGCATCTCTCAGTTCAATCCACCTCACAGGGTTGAAAATAGGAGGAAGATGATATATTGGATATGTTCCCATGGTGGGTTGTTTGTAAAAATAATAAAGGTGGGATAGAAACAAACAACTAAAATAAATAAACCTTAATTTAATGAAAATGTCCTACAAAAGGCCATAACTGTTGCTGTAGAGAGGCTAAATTACTTTCATGTAATGCTTTCACATTGTTTGTGGATAGCCACATTGATTCTACATGCAGTTTATTGGGGATCATCCTAAGTGCAGCATAGGTTTTTACATTCTATAAACATACATTGTGTTTCTTCATTATGTCCATCATTCTCATGTCTTAATATATGTCACTCTTCCTGAGTAACCAGAGTCAGAGTAAAAGGAAGAACTAAAAAGAATCCATAGAAATAAATTCTAAAAGAGAAATGGGGGGGGAAAAATCCTTTAAAAAATTGAAGAGAAGAAACCAAATTTATCACCTATAGTGGACTTAACAAATTGTTTCATTGCATAGCAGAAGTATAATTGCAGAGATTATTTTTATTTAATATCTATATTTAGCTGTAAAATGCCTCACACGATAATCTCCTTTAAACCAGGTTTTATAAGGTAGTCACTAAAACTCTAGTCCTCAATCCTGCTGAGACAGCAGCCAGAACAACCAATTGCATTTGATTACAGCTACAGATCAAAGGAATTGTACAACACAAGTGGGGAACGCATTGCTAGACTGACCGAGCCTCTCTTAGATCACATTATGATGAAGACACATTCAGTTTATTGCAGGAATAAAATGAAGAGTATTATTAGTAAGACAGATTCATAAATCTGAAAGGTTTGGAAAGTCAAGACAAAATAAAAGCAAGTGTATTTTGTAACCACTATTGATATATTAAAACAATTCCGATACAAATAGGAACAGGAAAAGGACTCAAAACTGAACTGAACTGAATACTTTATTTGGCCAAGTGTGATTAGGCACAAAAGGAATTTCTCTCTGGTGCAGAAGCTGTTGGTGTACATGTAAACACTAATAATCAATCATCATAAAACCAATAAGAGGGAGGAATACAAAATATAATAAATATTATAGCCATACTATATGGGTAAATACACATTTACATATTCACACCAATCCCCCTTAGACAAGGTGAGAATTAGGTGTTCAGTGGAGTGATGGCCCAGGCAAAAAAACTCTTCCTGTGTCTAGTTGTATTGGCCTGCAATGCCCTATAGCGGTGGTCGCCAACCACTTCCTCAATAGCCGCTGGCTATAGGGACAGCCCGGGACAGAAAAAGTACTGTCTGGTAATGGTGGGAGGGGGAAAGTTTGTGCTCACCATCCAGTTCAGAGGTCCAGAATGGGATGGTGGGGGCAACATCAGTTTCCTTGTCCCTCTTGGTGTTCTGCTCTGCTGCGCCCCCCCATGGCCCCAGCTATCACTGCCCAGGGAAAGTGAACAGAAACATACTCTCACTGGGGCAAAAGAGCTGAGGTCAAGGAAGACACAGGCAAGAGAAGAAACTGCCACTTTTGAAAAGCACCATTTTCTGTTGCCTGTGCCTTCCGATCTCTGCTCTTTTGCCCCAGCGAGAGCTATGTTTCTGCTTGCTTTCTTTTCCTAGGGGGAGGCAGCAGAGTCGTCTGGGCTGCTCTCCCCCCTCAGCAAGCCAGGCCTGGAGGAACATGAATTACAGGCAAGCGCCAGAGAAAGGCGTGTTGGAAATGCCAACCCACATTTCCAGTGCGCTCTACTCTGTCCTGAAGTAGGACTGAATGGGGGGAAGAGAGCAGGGGAAGGATAGGAGGGAAGGAAAAGGGAAGGGATGGCTATATTTCCTTTGGTCTGGGGCAGGGACTGGGGAGACCAAATGCCCAGACCAAAAGAGCATTGAGGAAGACGGGCTCCTAATAACCAGCCTGTTTATGTGGGCGAGAGCTTGAGTTTTTCTGGGCTCAACACCCCCTCTTCAGCCTCCCCACAGGGAGGGACCCTTCTCTGCTTGGAAGCGGCAGGAGGAACCTGGAGCTTAACCTCGGGGAATGCTCTTCTTATATGGAGGCTGAAGGGGGGGGGGGGGTGTTGCCTGATTAGGAGCCCGTCTTCGTCAGTGCTTCCAGACCGGCCCTCCTTCCCTCCCCCAACTCCAGGCAGCCACTCCTGGAAAAGGAGGGAGAGGTTTCCTCTGACTTGGGGGAGGCATGAAATGGCTCTGATTTTCTTCCATTTGAGGGGGGCCAGTTCCTCCCCGTTCAGATCTTCTCAGCCTCTAGGCACCATGTGGCTTCTTAAATCCTCCCTTCCCCCCCCTCCCAAAGGATGAGAGAGGCCTCTCCTTTCCCTTTGCTCTGCCCCACAGTTATGATTAAGCATCTACAATTTATATATATAAATTGTATATATATATATAAATTATATATCTATTATATATATATATATATATATATGTTATGTCCCACCTTCCAAAATAAACAGATAAGGCTGAAAGCAGCAGTCCTCGCAAATAAAGGCAGCAAACAGGAATCTTCACAGATAACAGCTGTAGTTAGCCTCCACAAGATAGTCCAAGTTAATAGTTCCAACGAAATAAATCCAAGGCCCAACAAGATATTTCAGGTTTAAATCCTCCAAGCCAAAATCTTCGGTTCTCCTTGCAAACAAACACTTTGTTCCGGACAAGGTGCAAAGTCATCTCTCTCCCTTTATAGAGCAGCAGCTAATTAGTCTAATTACTGATCTGCCCTCCTCCTGTGCTCCCGTTGGTTTCTTCTCGTAAGGAGATGCCTGCTTCTGACATCCACCCAGCAATCATCTAAATTATTACCTTCACCTGAAGTCTCCATAAGTTCCTCATTGTCAGCCGTTCCCGGCTGATAACCTGATTGAGAAGCAGAGGAGGTTGAAGGTTCAGGCCGGTCCTGCAAATCAAACTAAAGGGAGTAACGTTCTCATTCAAAACTGCAAGCAAAACTGTTAGGACTCCCTTTTGAAATTCAAACAGTCATTTCACAATCAAATCAAACTAAAGGGAGTAACGTTCTCATTCAAAACTGCAAGCAAAACTGTTAGGACTCCCTTTTGAAATTCAAACAGTCATTTCGTTCCTTTAATACCCATTAAGGCAACGTGCTAATTAACTGGCTTGCCCATCAGATTAACGTTTCCTGGTTCTGACGTCAATCCATGATCTAACAGTCATCAGATTCAAAGTTCCTAACAGGATTGGCCCTTCCAATCACAACATATATATATAATATTTCTTAAGTTTTCGTGGGTACTTACATGTAAGGTATTCAGCTTTGTTCAGGTATTTTCCCACGTCAGTGAACACAATACAGAAGCCTGATGATGGCAGATGAAATTCTGCCAAAACGTTGCTACAACTTTAAAAGCACAACTACAATGACGTGGGAAAATACCCGAACAAAGCTGAATGATATATATATATATCATTATGTATATATCATATATACATATATATATATGTATATAAAATTCAGCTATAATATATATATATATATCATTTATATATATAAATTTTTTATGTTAAATATATTATTTTTTAAAAAAAATCATATTAGTGGTCCTTGGGATTTAAAAGTATGAGTTTGATGGTCCCTGAGGTCCAAAAGGTGGTGACCCCTGCCCTATAGCACCATCCCAAGGGGAGGAGTTGAAACAGTTTGTGACCAGCAAGTGTGTGGTCTGTAGGTATTTTCTGAACCTTACTTCTGACACACACAATGTACAGGTCTTCTGTGGAAGGCAGAATTGCCTTTAGACTTTAGAAAATTTTGTATGATTTTCTTGTTTTCTAGGATTACTGTCTACAATTAATTGATTTGTCATAACATTTTAAATATCTGCTGAGAATAGTCAACACATAGCATCTCATTTGTCATTTGAAGGTATATCAGCACTTCCAAAAGGAACTCAGCACCTGGTTCTTGCTTCAGGTGAATAGATGGTGTCCTTAATTTACACAGAGGAAATAAATTTTTCAAAAAGATTATCTTCATTTGCTAATCCTTTGGTTGGTGAAATATGCTAAATCTTCTGGAACTTACATTTAAAAACCATTGATATAAAATAAAATTTGGAAAGAATGAAGTATGGAATTATACACTTTGTTATCCTAAATACAGACCCTCAGAGATTGGATTTATAAATTGCCTAAGATATGATTTAACCATATAGTAGTTTACTGAATAAAACACAACTGTCTGGCTTTGTATAATATACTAACTCAAACAAAATCAAACAAAAGCACGTTAAGGCTGAGAGTTCTTAGTAAAGAACTTAGGTAATTTAGGATTACCCTGTGAATTCAGACCTTGGCATTTCACAGTTTAGTTTTTATTGCAGTGCATAATACAAACTGCCTTAGCGAACTGCTCAAAATGTGAAATAACAAAATAGCAATGCAGTTGATATGAAAAATGTAAAAAGTTCAAAGTAAAGCACCTGATCTACTGCACAAACAGCAATAAATGTTCAAAGTCAAATAAAAGTACAGTGACTCATAAGCAGGAGACGAATGGAGCATATGGAAGAAAAGAAACAGAAAAATGTTTCTATCCACATGCTGGAATGTGCTTTAATCTAACATCTGAATGCGATAAGTGGTTAACGACTGGAGAAAGCAAAGACAATAGGACGCACTAAATTGAATGATTTTGAACTGCATTTTTAAATGTCTCAAAATGGCATACAACGTCATGAACAATGTTATGGGAGCAGTATTTTAATGCAAGCATCTCCAATATGATTGCTTATATACCAGGATTGCTGTTATCAGTGAAATGGCAGCAAACCAAACAAACGTACTAAAGCTCCACATGTATTAAAGGGAGAATCACTGGTGAAGGGGTTAAATATACTTACATTTAGAGTACTT